ATTATGAAGAAACCTATTCTCCAGTAGTGGATGCAACTACATTAAGGTTTCTCATTGGCATGTCTGTTTTTGAAAGGCTGCAAATGCGCCTAATGGATGTAGTGACCGCATAATTATACGGTTCACTTGATACAGACATTTATATGAAAGTTCCCGGTGGATTTAAAATGTGTGAAGCTTATAGCTCGAAACCTCGAGACATGTTTTCCATTAAATTACAAAAGTCATTGTATGGACTAAAACAATCTGGACGAATGTGGTATAATCGTCTCAGTGAATACCTTCTCAAAGAAGGATATAAGAATGATCCGATTAGTCCATGTGTTTTCATTCGGCGATCAAATTCGGGATTCGCCATAATTGCAGTATATGTTGATGACTTAAACATTATTGGAACTCCCGATGAAATTGAAAATACTGCAAAATATCTTATGAAAGAATTTGAAATGAAAGATCTCGGGAGAACCAAATTTTGTCTCGGACTTCAAATTGAGCATTTGAAGAATAGAATTTTCATCCACCAATCCAATTACACCGAGAAAGTGTTGAAGAGATTCTATATGGACAAAGCTCATCCTTTGACTTCACCAATGGTCATTCGATCTCTCAACATACACGATGATCCATTCCGTCCCCGAGAAGACGACGAAGAAATACTCGGTCCCGAAGTACCATATCTCAGTGCTATCGGAGCTTTAATGTATTTAGCTAATAATACTAGACCAGATATTGCATTTTCTGTAAATTTATTAGCTAGGTACAGCTCATGTCCAACAAGACGTCATGGGAACGGGATCAAGCACATATTCCGTTATCTCCGTGGTACAGTTGATCTCGGCCTATTCTACCACAAAGATGCAAAAGCTACTTTAATCGGATATGCAGACGCTGGATACTTATCAGATCCTCAAAAGGCGAAATCACAAACCGGGTACGTATTTACTTATGGTAACACCGCAATCTCATGGAGATCTATGAAGCAGACATTGACAGCTACATCATCAAATCATTCGGAGTTAATTGCATTATATGAAACCGGAAGAGAATGTGTGTGGCTGCGATCTATGATTCAACACATCCAAGATGAATGTGGTATGAAAGCTATTAGTTGTCACCCGACTGTGATCTATGAAGACAACACCGCATGCATAGCTCAAATTAAAGAGGGTTATATCAAAGGAGACAGAACAAAACACATATCACCAAAGTTTTTCTCTACTCATGACCTTGAGAAAGAAGGGACAATCAACATTCAACAAATCAGATCCAGTGAAAATCCAGCTGATCTCTTCACCAAATCATTACCCCCGAAGAAGTTCATGGAACTTGTACAGAAAATCGGCATGCGCCGCCTTAATAATTTATGTTAATTTCAGGGGGAGTATTTGAATGCACTGCACTCTTTTTCCCTTCATCAGGTTTTTATCCCACTGGGTTTTTCCTGATAAGGTTTTTAACGAGACAGTACATCCAAATACAACGACGTTATAAGTCGTAATTTTTACCCCTTTAATTTCACACTAATTTTCACAATAAATTTTTAACATAACAAATACCTATTCAAGGATGAACATTCAAGGGGGAGTGTTGTAAAATGGCTAGAATGACATGTGTGAATTGTCCATCCTTGTAATCAGGACACCTAGCTAGTTCTCATCCTTACTCATCAAACACAAGTCATTGTAATCACACACATGGCTAGATTCAATACTGCCAGCAAATCATGTAGAATCATTCCTAGATGATTCATCCCATGCCTGGCTAGTATAAATAGGGCTTGCTCAAACTCTTGTAAAGTAATTCAGAAACTCAGAAATCTCAGAGATTAAGAAGAAGTTATTTTGGAGGTTATTAATAATATATCTATCTCTTTAATCTGTTCTTCATCTTCTTCATTTCACAACAAAAATAATAATACCCAACCCATAGCATGTCAGATTATTAAGAAAGCCCTCCCTAACTGATCTTCAACCCTAAGCTAAATCTTCATAGCTCTTCTAATCCCCACTTTAGTTGGGAAACTGCCGTTTAACGGCAATGTTAGTTGGTGGTTAAAAGTGAACGTAAAAGTTCAAATTTATGTTTATTTGGTCCACTATAAACTCGAGTGTCCTATTCGAGATTCATTAAAAATCTTGGTGTTATTTTTGGCCCCTCTCCCTGTCATTTTTCTAGTTTGTTGTAATTTAGTAAATTTAGAATCATCATGAGCAAGAATCAATCAAGGATCAACAAAGGATCATGGAAAGGATCTTATAAGATCAAAGGAAGGGGCAAAGGAGCAAAAAATCATGCAAAAAATGTGATATGGTGTCATACCCGATCGGGTATTATCCATACTCGACCCAGAGATTTACAAGATCAAATAAAGCAAGAGAACGTGGGAAAATCAAATTTGGTCATATACCCGGTCAGGTATATTGACATACCCGGTCGGGTATGACTAGATTTCAACACTTTCGTGGCTACTGCCATAGATACCCTGTCGGGTATCCGAAATACCCAGTCGAGTATTCGACTCAACCTCACCAAAACACCTATAAATACACCCCTTTCCCTTCCCATTTTGATATCCCTTCTTCCATATACTTAAGCTCAACTTAGAATAGTATTTTCTTTATATTTTTCTAACATTGTTTAGTCTCCAAATGAGAAGCTAAACTTCCATTTCTTGGTTTTGCTCTTGAAACTTATTGAATATTAAAGTGTTGAGTTATTTTCTTACTTCTTCCCTAGAATATGAATTCATCCATTATTCTATCTCTATATTAATATTGGGGAGTGTTGCTAAGATGATAATTAGTTAACACCTTGACATTAATTACTACTAGAAACGATCAATGAACCGATGGTTAATCATTGATGGTTTCACAAGTAACTTTGGGTTATTAATGCACGATCGTGGTTAATAATCTTAAGAGCGATTAATTGTGTTGGATAAACTGAAACCGTTGTGTTGAGGTTATTAATCTCAATTAATTTCATCAAGGAGCTAAGAGATTAATTGCCACTATCAAGTCGGTATATCGCGGTGTTTTATATTGGGCTAATAGTAGTAAAAGTTATTAATGAATGATCGTTGTTAATAACTACCCTCGATGAGTATTCGACTGAGTATCCGAGAGGGGATAAGTTATAGAGATAACCGGGATCAACAAACATATGAACAAGTGGAAAGTAGCAAAACCAAGTCTTTTATCTCATTAATTAAAATCATATAAGTCGTTCATCTTAGTGTTTAATTAATTAAAATCAAATAATCTCAAAAAACCCCTTTTTAATTAGTAGTTTCATAAAAGAAAAGTATTATTTTCCTTGTGGATACGAACTCTACTTCACTATATTACGTATGTGTGTTAGAATTGATTTTATTTCGAGGAACACAAAGACTTTGCCGTCATTAATTCCTATTGAATGTAATTTAAAATGCAGCAACTCAGTACTTTAATGGTGGACTAAGTCTCCCAAAAGGTGAGTACTAACTACTCCCTCCGTCCCTAATAACTTTGCCAAGTTTGACCGGCACGGGGATTAATAAAGTAAAAACTGTGTGGTTGAGGTTTGTGCAGAGGGGAGAGAATTAACTGGAACCACAAATTCTTTACTTAAATGGGAAAGTGGCAAAGTTAATGGGACATCCAAAAAAGGAAAGTTGGCAAAGTTATAAGGGACGGAGGGAGTATCTCACGACATGAACAAAAGAATCTAACTTTCATCAAAATCAATGCACTTTAGATTTTTTTCCAAGAAAATGTTACAGTTTTACTGACAAGTTAAATATGATGAATTTAGCATATTACCCATTTCATCAAATTTTGATGATTAATGTATTTAGTTTTGATGATGTCACCCATTTTCAATTTTCTGTATTAGACTAGATCTTACTTATGTTCTACTTTGTTTATTGTAATGTACTACTCTTTACGTGAAAAACAAAGCACTCATTAAAAGCAAAAAGAGTACTAAAAAGAGAAGAAATGTACCACAACAAAACAAAAAAGAATCAAAACAAAAAGGTACGAAAAGTGTCAACTGAAACTCTTTGATTAATCGGCAGTCGTCTGAAAAACCAAAATCGGTAGCCTACTGAAAACATTCTTCAGTCGGCTCCCAACTTGATTTTCGAGACAAGGCCACCGAAATCTACTACTCTTCTCTAAAGCACAAAAACAATAAAAGAAAAGACCAACTTGCAGTCAAAATGACAAAAAGATAGAAAGTAATTTTATAAGAAATTTTTACCACCATATGAAAATTTCTTATAAACTTTTTTTTAACCCGGAAGGCAAACCACCAAAATCAGTGGGGTAAATGCCGGGGAATATTTACCAAATTTTATTAATAGTACTATTTTTTCGACGCGCGTTGCGCATGAATGACAATGCCCAATACAATGTAATGTGTAATCTCTACCGCAATGGAGATCCCAGGGGCGGACCGTGGTAGAGATCCAGGGGGGCAGTCACCCCTCCAACAATTTTTTTTAATGTATATATATACCAAAAAATAATTTTCGCCCTCCCAAATAATTTTTTTTAAGTTGCCGCCCTCCCAAGAAAAACTTCCTGGATTCGCCCCTAGGAGTTCCATACAGGCACACAAGCAATTGAAAGCATAGAAGGGAAGTAATGATACTTCACGTTTTGTTTTTGTCTATGATAGTTACTATTCGAGTAAAGGGCCAGTTTGGTCCTCGAAATTGCAAAAAAAAGAGGTCAAATAAGTCCTTATATAGAAGATTCTGTCCGGACGTGCCATTTGATGTGGCTCCCGGTAGAATTTTTTGATGAAATTTTTTGAGCATCTTATTCATTAAGTCTAGTTTACTCATACTAAATTTCAGCTAAAAATTCAATCGGGGAGACATTCAAACGAATTCTTAAAGATAACAGCGCTTTTAACGGTACAGTTATATTCAAGAATTCATTTGAATGTCTTCTCAATTTAATTTTTATCTGAAATTTCGTATGAGTAAACTAGACTTAATGAATAAGATGCTCAAAAAATTTAATCAAAAAATTCCACCGGGAGCCACCTCAAATGGCACGTCCGGATAGAATTTTCTATATAAGGATTTATTTGACCCCTTTTTTGCAACTTCAAGGACCAAACGGACCCTTGTCCTGTTACTATTCCCGGCAAAAAGGCGTCATATTTAGAAAGTTTTGGTCATCTCCATCTTCACTCCTTACATTGAGTGTGAATTTAATTACCCTAATGACGAAAAGGTAATGAATCAACTGGGAGAACAATATACATCCTTGAAAAGGGTGAAACTTAAGAACACCTTAAATTTGTGGAGTAGTTTATAATCCAACAAAGCTACATTAATTTGGCACCCTTTACTCTGTAGTTCAGCATCAACATCATCCTGAAGATGGTCCAAGGCTTTATCCCCCTGCAAGCATTGTAAATGAACGTTTCTCATGCTCGGTTGTAGGGGTGGGCGCGGTCGGGAACGGTCTGGTAAATTAGTAAAACTCGTAATGTATCCATGAGGTTTCTAATGGTCTGGTACGGTCCGGTTCTAAGGATGGAACCATTCGGTACCATGTTGTTTCAGATCGGTATAAAACGGTACGGTACAATGTCAAACACATGCTAAAAAAATTGGAAACATTTTGCAATTAGTAGATATCATCACACCAACCAATTCACATAAAATGTTACAAGAAATTGCTTACGTAGTACTACAATTCTACAATTCACAAATAATGCAACACAACTAAAAAAAGTATAGCAAAATGACGATAAACGAGATACATATCATCTTTAATTTACAAAGTTCACTTGAAAATATAAAAATAAAATCATCAAATTAATGAATATAACAGAAAAAATCAATGTTCTTCATTGTTTTAGGTTAAGTATTAGTTCTAATTAAATTAATAGTTGAACCGCAGGAGCTAAGATTGCAACAAAAAGTTGTATACACTACATTACTAGAAATGAATAGTTATTAATGATTTCTAAAACTTTAACATTCTTTTAATACATACCAAAATATAATATAAATTATCTCAAACGAAAAAATAACAATATATATATATATATATATATATATAAACATATAAACACATTTAGCTATTTTAGGGACGCATGAATACATATTTGAGCTATAAAATTGTTGGTCTATAAAATAAATTTATCGGTATGGGGAAAATATAAAAAATTTCAATGCATTATTTTTTAACGTTTCGGTTCGGGTTTTATGCCCACCCTACTCAGTTGAGCACACATAAGGGCAGGACCGATAATAGGAAAAGGTGGGTGTGAGATCTCACTTGGTAGAGAAAAGGACTATAACGAACTAATAAGCTATGGTTGAAACTTGAGAAGGGTAAAGACAAAAAAAGCAAGCAATTGAAATGCTTTTTTTTAAGGGAATTCAAACTTGATCATACCTTTCAATTTCAGATCCCATGTCAATGGCCATTTCCTTGAGCTCCCCCAAGAGATTACTTAGATCAGAGAGTCAGAGAGTGCATCATCTTGCTTTTTCCAAGGATCTGATTAGTCTAGTTCTCCCTTAGTCTAGCTCATTACTATTGTATAGTCTGCAGCCAAGTACTCCATACTTTATACTTCCTGATGTCTTTTTGTGATTGCAAAATGACATGTACTCTTCAACATTTCTAATTGCTCCAAGGGAAATGGATTTGGCAGAAGAAAACTTGAGATCTGAGTTAGAACGTGTGTAAACTGAAGTGTCCAGCCAGTCCATAAAATCAAATGAAGCCGTTATCAACTCTAATGTTATGGCAGGAGATGGTACAGAATTTTCGAAGTCCATGGTAGTGGAGAAATTAGAGAACAAGAAAATGAGAGAAACTGGAAACACATTACTTGACATACATTAGGTGTAAATTATAAATATATTCTTCTTTTGGTAAGCATAAAATCTACACTTTGTTTGCAAACAATTAATTTAAGTGCTTTTGGCTTTTTTTAAGAAAAAAACACTTATTTTATCAAACAATATCAACTTTTACTTTCTCGGTTTTCGTGTAGAATCTACTTTTTACTTTTTCTATTACACAAAAAACATTTATTTTACCAAACACTATCAACTTTTACTACTAATCACTTTTTCCCAAAAAGTGCTTTTATTTAAGCACAATCACTTGCAAACAGAGCCTAAATGCAGATGAACTCAATGAACAACATGTCATTCTTTAGGAGCTGACTGTATTCACCGATTTGAGTGAGCTATAAGAAGGTTATACAAAAGTTGATATTTTAGCCTCTTATTCAGATTTTGAGTGAGTTCAGTCACTTCCACCAAATTCACCCGTACCAAACTGGACCTTGTGAAACGTATCTGTCTCTGTGTGTAATAATCCTCTAACTAATCCTCTAAAGAAATCCTCATATAGTCCAATAATGCATTAATTCCACAAGTAATCTTTTTTTTTTACCATAAGTCAATAACCCTATAAGCTAGGGAGATAATACATACGTGTATATCTATTAGAAGGCGGCCACCAATACATGGAAATTTAAAACGGATCAGATGAAATATTAACGTATATTTCACTTTAAAAACTAAAAAATAAAGAATAGAACTGCATGAACAGAAGAAAACAAGGTTTTTTGTATAGGGTGTGATGAGTAAAAAGGAGCTTCCTTATAAAAAATGAGAATGAGTGCACTTTTGGTTAAAGGGTTTGCTATAACACATATTGTTGGAGATATTCGTTGTCGGAACCTGCAAAACAATGTTAGAAAATAAAACAGTCCGAGACGCGCTAGTCGCTGTCCTAAAGAAAGTATTTCCGGTGGCCGGAAATCTTCCCCCAAGATATAACGGACTCTTCGGCTAATTTGCCGGACACAGAAAACTACGAGGAAGAAAAGAAACTTTCTTTCGTTCGTAACCCAGCAGTTTTTGACTAATACGTAGTATAAGTATGTTAATACTTCGTAAAAGAAATATGGCTACTTCTATATCTAGTTTGTATAAAGTTAACTGTATATATATAATCCCTCACACAAGCACTAGCCAATAACTAAGAATACTTGGTGCGTAGTAATTGGAAATTGTTTGTTTTAGTGGAGGCTTGGTGATCCACGAATAATGGAGAAAATTGCGGCTGGCCATGCAGGCACACCGCACACCCATGATGCTTGGTCAAAATAGAAGCAATTCAAAAATCAAATTTAAATAGGAAGTGTTCAAAATAATATCCGAAACTTTTATTTGTCAAAGTAAAATATTTAAAGTGGAAAAAGATAAGCTTGTCCAAAGAATTTAGTCAGCCACGAGCATTCCAAGTAGACCCATTAGTTAATAGTTTAACCATAAAATAAATTTTATTTGAAATACTAAAATAATTTTCCAATAATCCCCCACATATTTCAAATAAATATTGAGGTTAAAATAATTTTGAAAATCTGCTGGATTAACGGGAACGAGACTTTAAGTCTGGTGTCCGAAGCCTATGAACCAAACCGAGACGATTAAGTCTTTACAAACCGAGCTTCTGGTGAAACATATAGTTTCTATGAACCAGTAAGCTACTATGGTAAGTCAGGGTCTTAATGGCCATGTCTCACCCCCCACAATTCCTCGCGTTACCGCCGTGGTGCGCGTTTCGACCGTGCGCGTGCTTGGTATTCTTGAGTGCTCTAGAAGCGTTGTCATGCTTCATGGAGGCGGCCCCACCTCACACTCATATAGGTGACCTCATTAAGTGTGTTCTGCACTTAACACACCAGCCATAAGGCTATGAAAATCATTAAGAGTTTTAGCTCAGCCTCACAGCGAATGCAGTCTAGCCTCACCCTAGAAACGGACATAATAGGCTAGCAGGAACAAATAAAAGACTTGTTATTACCCATATGAACCTGCTTCATGGGATCTCCAATCACACAGGTTGGGTTACCATCCCTATTTGTTAACAAGTGACAGTCCATTTCCCTCGATGTATAAAATATAGTATCCTAGGATTTCGGCCAAAGGAGAATTTTTACTCCACTTGTCATAGTATATGACAACTTCATATTTCATATATTTCATGTGATATCGTTGTAGTCGACATACAACAATATCATCTAAGAATTATTATATCATCATTGTATTACTTTAATACAATGGGTTAGCTCACCAAGTTCACCTTTTGTGTTTCAACAATTCTGCTCAATCTTCCGACACTCGGCCGGGTTTCACATAGTTTGTTAATTTTAACAAACTCACAATTTTAACATTCATAATGAACATTAAAATTTACTTCACCAATTTAAAATACAAAATCACGTGTGTGATATTCAACTCAATAGATCTTATTACCTTCTTAAAAGGTAAGAAAATTCATAGCTGGATATTACCCCCACATTTTGGTTATACGGGTATCAGATTAATCTCACGGTACATTAGCAAATGCGAATAATAAGCTTAGGGGAATACCGTACGTCAAACAAGATAAGAAAGCAACATATAACCGGGTACGTAAACATTTACACGCATAGTAAGCACAATTCAAAATTTTAATCAAAATTGCCAAGTGGCATATCCGAGCAAAACCTCGTAGCTAAATGCAGTAGATAAAAGTCAATTCAGGGGCGTCTCTGCTGGGAGTTGGGCCAGGCAAATGCCTTGGGCCTCACTTTCCAAAGGGGCCTAAAAAAAAAACTATTAGTATTAGTATTAGTCTATTATTATGTATATACTAATAATTAATTAGTTAGTCTACGGTCTATGGGAGCAATAATACTCGACCGGCTCAGCGACGCCAAGCCTCCAAGCGTGAAGCCACTGAAGCGGTGAAGGCAAGCCAAGCGCCAAGCGAACCAAGCAATCCCTATTCCCTAGCATCAGCCCTTCAATCGCGAATCCTTCATCCATTCCCCGAAAAGAAGAATCTGCTGATTGCCAATTCCGCGATAGTGCGATTCATAGGCGATTAGGCGTCCGGCAGTCCACCGAAGAGAAGGATCCTGTCATCCTGTGAGTCTGTCCTTTCTCTAAAGCTCTAAAATTCTAAATTTTGTGGTTCAGAAATCAGAAGAGTTGTTTTATACACTTTTATACTTCTATTCAATCTCTTATCTCGGTTAGCAAAATTGCAAAAGTGCTGGACAGCTGGAGTAATAATTCAATTCACAATAATGTAGATACGGTAGTACAGAGTATGTTATATGTATTTGGGAATTTAGATTTTAGAAGAATTGAGAAAGTAATGGGGACTTGACCACTTGAATAGTACTCCGTACATAGTTATTTTGTTTAAATTTTTATTGTATTTATTAGAATAGATGTTTTAGGAGTTTCTGTTAATTAATTAATGTGTTTGTGATTGTTATGATTTTGTAAATTTTGTCGATAGGTTCGTCTTAAGTATGACCGGAAAGCGGAAATTTGAGTCGGGAAGTACAAAGTTGAAGCTTATAAAAAACTATCAACGATCAACCATGTCGGAAGATAGATTAAGTGGCTTAGCTATGTTGTCGATTGAAAAAACAGTGTTAGCTACTCTTGATTGCAGTGATGTTATTACTGATTTTGCACTTCAAAAGGCAAGAAGAATAGGTCAATAAGGTCTTACAAGTACAAGTTTGTGGAGTACTTTGCATATGTTTGCATTGAAAAACTTAGCGTTACGACTATTAAAAAATATTATGAGCCTGTTTGGTAGCACCAAAATCGGCTGTTTTGGCTGATTCTGCTGAAATTTATGATATTTTGGCTGGAGTGGCTGTTTTGGCTGATTCTGCTGATTTAATAAAAAAATATTTTAAAAATATATTTTATTAATAAATTAAAGAAAAAATTATATGTAAAAATAGCTAAAATGGTCTTCTACAGTAACTTCAGCCAATACAGCCAGAAAAGTAACTCCAACCTTACTTTTTCGGCTTATTACACAATTCAGCGCGCGAAAGTAAAAGTTACGTGTTTGGTGAAAAAGCTGGCTGATAAGCCTGATAAGCCGAAAACAGAGTTCTCCAAACGGGCTCTATATCGTACACTTTGAATATGTTTTCTTTAATATGATGTTCTTTATTCAATTTATCTCTTTTCAATATGTTTTTTGCTCCGTAAATTTTTTCCTGCCTAGGGCCTCCAAAATGCTAAAGACGCCCCTGAAAGTCATACATATGTGATAGGAATCTGAACCTACTCCGAATATAATAAGTAGGATATCCAAAATAAATTTCCTTACATGCAAACTCAAATAGATCATACCCACATTAAATGGGTTTGTGCGTAGTCTTGAAAAACGTCTGCACTTCGAAACCTCCTTTGCACTGTAAGCATCTCCTCTCCCTGCTTTCTTTCCCTGTCTGTGGTGCTTTTGAATTCCTTTTACTTCCTCACACTATCATTCATCTCCTTACTGCAGATTGTTTTTCAGTGCCTACTCTGTTTGACTATGATTTTGTTTTCCATATGTTTGCTTGCATGTAAATGGCACCAAGTTCCTAGCCTCTGTGAGCATTGACATAATAGTGAATCGTATACGTTGAATTAAGCGATTCAGCTTGCAGGGTTATTGACTTATGGTAAAAACGATTGTGGAATCAATGCATTATTGAATTATAGAGGATTTTTTAGCACCTAAATGGACCCAACTTCCTTGCCTTTACTTCTTCTTTCAGTTTAAAGAGCACTAACACTGAATATGTTTTGAAGTGATTTTTTTTAACAGAATCAATGATAGAGAATGACAATCTTATTAGTTTGTTATACAGCCAAAATGGTTTGGTAGTAACCATTGATAGAAAAAGAGACAAACGGAGACAATGTATGTATTTAAATGATATGTTGTGGTTAAAAACATAGGTAGCTAAAAAACATAAGTACCTGGCTGCAGAATGTTTGGTATTGAAAGGATGCCAAATGAATTAATTAGACGGTTTAGGAAGCCATATTTGTATTTAACGACATTTGTTGGCATCTGCATTTCGGCATATTGATGTGATATAGTTTAGCTTTCATGATATTAAACACGAACCAAACAATAAGTTCAGCCGCATACGTATTACTGTAAGTACTTCGTTTTTTAGTATGCTGAAAGGGCGAGAGAGGTGTGTCCTACTTTAGGCCTCAGTGACCATAACACTAATTTGAGAAAGGTATAGCAGCAAAACAGGTGGATACTGTTGCGATCAATGTTTTCTTCATATATACTACTCGTCTTTTATACGGAAATCAATAAAGTTACTACGTTTTTTTCGCGTAGTTTAGTTTGGTCACATTTGCAACGACACTGTAAAGTACTCCGTATATTTTACCAAGTAGCTAACTAATTGTATTTATTGGATAGATGTTCCACATCCCAAAACCATGATAGACTTTGGGACTATATGTATTGGAAAATTATTTTAGTATTTCAAATAAAATTTATTTTATGGTTAAACTATTAACTAATGGGTCTACTTGGAATGCTCGTGGCTGACTAAATTCTTTGGACAAGCTTATCTTTTTCCACTTTAAATATTTTACTTTGACAAATAAAAGTTTCAGATATTATTTTGAACACTTCCTATTTAAATTTGATTTTTGAATTGCTTCTATTTTGACCGAGCATCATGGGTGTGCGGTGTGCCTGCATGGCCAGCCGCAATTTTCTCCATTATTCGTGGATCACCAAGCCTCCACTAAAACAAACAATTTCCAATTACTACGCACCAAGTATTCTTAGTTGCTGGCTAGTGCTTGTGTGAGGGATTATATATATACAGTTAACTTTATACAAACTAGATATAGAAGAAGCCATATTTCTTTTACGAAGTATTAACATACTTATACTACGTATTAGTCAAAAACTGCTGGGTTACGAACGAAAGAAAGTTTCTTTTCTTCCTCGTAGTTTTCTGTGTCCGGCAAATTAGCCGAAGAGTCCGTTATATCTTGGGGGAAGATTTCCGGCCACCGGAAATACTTTCTTTAGGACAGCGACTAGCGCGTCTCGGGCTGTTTTATTTTCTAACATTGTTTTGCAGGTTCCGACGACGAATATCTCCAACAATCTAAAGAAAGTATCACTATGGCGTCGGATACACCTACTCAAATAATCTCGGTTCCGGAAACCCCCCAACGGAAAAGGAGCTACAAGCAATGCCGACTCGCATGTTAACATGCAATTTGAGGTCCAGCCTATCCATGCAAAGCCTTTTCCCGATATTTCTAAAATAGAAGTATTTTCAGGAGATGGCAAGAATGCCTATTTTCAACGCTCGACGTGCATGGCGTTGCCGACGCTCTTACCCAATCCATGCCGACCAAAGACAACTCACCCGAAGGCGTCAAGCTCCTTCAACAGTGGACCCACGCAAACAAGGTTTGCCGTCATACAATTCTTAGCACTTTATCTAATGAACTGTTTGATGTTTATTGCACAAAAAAGGAAGCGAAGGAAATTTGGAGTTCTATGATAGCCAAGTACACGGCTGAGGACACCGTCAAGCAGAAATTTGTAATAGGAAACAATTACAAGTGGGAAATGAAGGAGGACAGAGACATCAAGGCGCAAATTCACGAGTACCAGACGTTGTTGGAGGACCTTAAAAGCGTCCAGATAGAACTGCCGGAGCCATTCGTTGCCGGGATTCTCATTGAAAAGTTGTCGGAGTCCTGGAGGGACTATAGACGAGACCTCAAATACGACTTTGGACTTATGTCTTTCAATGATGTGATTACCCACATCATCATTGAAGACACAAACCGGAAGGAAAATGTCAAGAGTCAAGCAAAGGAATATACATCAAATGCAAACTTGGTGGAGACGGAGGACAAAGGGAGGTATGGAAATAATCATTCTAATAATAAGCCCAATTACAATAAATATAAACAAACCACACTTTTTAAAAGAAAGGAATGTTATGTTTGTGGAAAACCGGGGCACATTGCTAGTAAGTGTCGAAAAAGGGCGTTTGTGAACAACAAAAAACCACCCAAACCAAGTGCAAACTTGGTTGAGGGTGATGAAATTATAACTGTGGTTGTCTCACAAACGTGCCTGGTGGCGGATGTGAAGGAGTGGGTTGTAGACTCGGGAGCCACCAGGCATATTTGCCAAGACAAAAGTGTGTTTTCCTCCTATACACCAATAGGGGATGAAGAGGAGTACGTACATCTTGGGGATTCTAGAACTACCCAAGTGCACAGAAAGGGCAAAGTTAATATCAAACTCACATCCGGCAAGACATTATCACTCACCGACGTACTTCATGTGCCCGAGATACGGACGAATTTAATCTCCGTTTCACTCTTGGGAAGAGCTGGTGTCAAGGCATCTTTTGAATCTGACAAGGTGGTTCTCACTAAGAATAATATATTTATTGGAAGAGGTTATTGTAATCAAGGGCTTTTCATGTTGAATGTGTCAGAAGTATTGAAGTAATCTGTTTCGTAGTTGATGATTATAAGTCGTGAGCTACCTACATTTGTTTTCTATGTTATTTGCTGAATAAGTGCTGTAAGCAATGTTATGATATTAGTATGTTCACGTGAAATTTTGTTTGAATAAAATCCGAATTTTTTAATAGCTTGTGATAGTTTTATTCATTCATATTATTATTTTGCTGTACGGTGCATTTTAATTCCTTGGTGGTTCAATTTGACCTTGAATATTCTGCAAATTCTTGTTATGTTGTTTTACCATTGCAGTTTAAATTAACAATTAATAATTGTGATGTGTAATTTGTGAAGAGAAATTCAGTCCCAATTAAGGATCTAGTCTCACTAAACATGATAAAATTCATATAATCAAACAATAAGAACACTAACCGGTTGAGGAGAAACCAAACTTTGATGACGAAGATGATGAAGCCATGATGTCGTTGGATTCTCTAAGGATACAAGCGGATTTGCGATGGATTGAACGATCTCCCTTGGGTCTCTTAATATAGGTGTTATGACCTTTGGGAAGAAACACGTTCTTTCGTTTTAGTCGTAAGAGGAACGAACGAGCCTTATATCTTGTATCAAAGAGAAACCCCATTGGCCCCTTATGTATTATTTAATGTTAAAACATACCCATCATATGTTAACTGTACATAAATACCGGGACCAAATCTGTCATATGGCAATCTTAATGGTAAGACATAAATGTCCCCAATTTATATTAAATTATATAAATGGTCCAAGGACACTTAAATGGAATATTTTCCAACATTCTCCCACTTGACCTTGAGATCATTTATACAATTATACATAAGTTAAAGTATTAGTTGGCCAAGAAAAATTCATCTTACTCCATAATAATATCAAAGCAAACAAATACAGTCTAACGGGTCAATATAACCCGGGACCCCCATTAATCATACTTTGACACTTCTTAAAGAGGATAAGGATTAATATAAGCCAAATGACATTAAACTTAGGGTATTATGTTTGTCTATTAAAATAACTTTGTGTGCACAATGAAGAATAGACAAAACATACTTAGGGAGGAATTTTAAATCAAGTACTTGAAATTAATACATAAGATAGTTATTCAGGCACTGCGCTATAATTTCCTAAACAAGATCTTTCATCAAGCCCATATTAGTGACATGTCTTTGAAAAATACTGGGCGAAAGTCCTTTAGTGAGAGGATCTGCTAGCATATTATTCGTGCTGATGTGTTCGATACAAATTTCGTTTTCCTCCACTCTTTCTCGAACGAACAAATACTTTGTATCGAGGAACAATCCCGCTCCACTCGAACTGTTATTTTTTGAGAAGCTCACGGCCGCGGAATTGTCACAATAAATCCTTAGCGGTCTTGAGACAGAATTTACTACTTTGAATCCTTTGATAAGATTCCTTAGCAACATCCCATGACACGTTGCGTTGTACACCGCAACATATTCAACCATCATTGTTGAAGTAGTCGTAAGTCTTTGCTTGTGGCTTTTCCAAGATATTGGCCCACCTGACAGCAAGAAAATGTATCCCGAAGTAGACTTCCTATCATCTTTGCACTTAGCAAAGTCAGAATCGGAATATCCCACCACTTCTAAATTATTAGACCTCTGGTAAGTAAGTTTGTACTCTTTAGTTCCTTGAAGATACCGCAAAACTTTCTTAGCGGCTTTCCAATGATCTAATCCTGGGTTAGATTGATATCTACCCAACATGCCGGATACATACGCGATATCTGGACGAGTACAAACTTGAGCATACATCAGGCTTCCAACTACAGAAGCATAAGGAATGAGTTTCATTTGCTCTTTCTCAACCTCGGTTTTTGGGCATTGGAATGACCCAAAAACGTCTCCCTTAACTACTGGAGCAACTGATGGAGAGCATTGTTGCATGTTAAAACGTTCTAAAATACGCTCAATGTATGCCTTTTGAGACAAACCTAACGTCCCTTTGACTCGATCTCGGTGAATTTCAATGCCTATAACATAAGAAGCTTCACCTAAATCTTTCATGTCAAAATGGCCAAATAATAAGCGTTTTGTTTCATGCAATAAATCCAGATCACTACTTGCTAATAAGATGTCATCAACATATAACACAAGTATGATGAATTTGCTCCCACTCATTTTGAGATAAGTGCATTGATCTACTTTGTTTTTAATGAAGCCATTTGATTTCATGACTTCATCAAATTTGAGGTACCATTGTCGAGACGCTTGCTTGAGCCCATAAATAGACTTCTTGAGTTTACACACTAGATGTTCTTGACCCTTAGAAACATAACCTTCAGGTTGTATCATATAAACATCTTCGTGTAAATCTCCATTTAAGAAGGCTGTTTTGACGTCCATTTGATGCAGCTCAAGATCAAAGTGAGCTACTAAAGCCATAACGACCCTTAGGGAGTCCTTTCGAGAGACAGGTGAAAAGGTCTCTTGATAATCTACACCTTCCCTTTGAGTGTAGCCCTTAGCAACCAATCTTGCTTTGTATCTTTCAATGTTTCCATTTGGATCTAATTTAGTTTTAAAGACCCACTTGCTTCCAACGGGCTTATGACCCTTTGGTAATTCAACAAGTTCCCAAACATTGTTCTTCTCCATGGAAAGAAGTTCTTCATTCATAGCTTCTTTCCAATGAATCGATTGGTCACAATTAATGGCATCAAGGAAAGATATAGGGTCAACGACTTTCCCTAAATCAAAGTCGGCTTCTTCATTTAAATATATCAAATATTCGTCAAAATTTGTGGGGCGTCTCACCCTTTGAGATCTCCTTAGAGATTGCTGATTTTCTGGAATTTCATTAGAAACATGTGGAGTTGGTTCAACATTTATTGGAGTTTCATTCGCCTCTTGACTTGTTGCATCATTATTATGAGGCGTATGACTCTCACTATGATCTTCAAGTGGTGAGTTAGGTGGAATGGGCAGTATAATAAGTGGATTCATTCCAGTACCCTCTTGAAGATCATCATTAGTGTTTGAACCATCACTACTCCCACTAATGTTAGTATTCTCAAGGAATTCAGCATGTCGAGTCTCGACAATTCGGGTAGTGTGAGATGGGCAATAGAACCTATATCCCTTAGATCTTTCGGGATAACCAATGAAGGAACAACTAATGGTTCTCATGTCAAGTTTCTTCAATTGAGGATTATACACTTTTGCTTCAGCCGGACAACCCCACACTTTTAGGTACCGTAGACTAGGTTTCCTTCCCGTCGTCCATAACTCATATGGAGTTTTAGGAACAGATTTAGATGGTACTCTATTCAATATGTGGATTGCTGTTTTAAGGGCCTCGGTCCATAAAAATTGGGGAAGATTTGAGTTAGCCAACATACTTCGGACCATATCCATAAGAGTCCTATTTCGCCTTTCGGCAACCCCATTTTGTTGAGGGGTGCCGGGCATGGTATATTGGTTGATGATCCCGTGATCTTTACAAAATTCATGGAAAGAACCGGGAGCTTGACCAATATCGGTGTGTCGACCATAGAACTCACCACCCCTATCCGATCTCACTACTTTGATCTTTCGATCAAGTTGATTTTCAACTTCGGCTTTATAAGCCTTGAACATATCTAGTGATTCAGATTTTTCCTTAATCAAATATAGGTACATATAGCGTGAGTAATCATCTATGAAAGTAATAAAGGAGTTATGACCACTAATGGAATCGGGAAAAGGCCCACAAATATCCGTGTGTATTAATTCTAACAAACCAGTGCTTCGCGTGGCGCCTTTCTTAGTTTTCTTAGATAATTTCCCTTTCAAACACTTCACACATTTGTCATAATCTGAGAAGTCAAGATTTGGAAGAATGCCGTCTTTCACGAGTCTTATCATTCGATCTCGTGATATGTGGCCCAACCTTTGATGCCACAAATTGGACGACGATTCCAATTCTCTCTTTCTCTTGCAAGGATTTTCAGTTATATTAAATGACAATGGGGATTCCATAAAATTAGTGTCTAAGCATAACTTATAGAGGTTTCCCTCCATGCTACCAAATCCTATTACATTTGAGTTCAAGCTTATTGTCACTTTATTGTATACGAAATTAAATGTAAAACCATCAGCACTTAGTTTCGATACAGACACTAAGTTACGAGTAATATTAGGTACATAAAGAGCATCACGAAGATGAAGAATGAAGCCATTCTCTAAAATTAGTGAGATAGTTCCAATGGCCTCCACTTCTAATTCTTCTCCGTTGCCCACCTTAATCACTCTTTGCTTTCTTCCCAATGTCCGGATTGAATGGAATCCCTGCAGTGTGTTTGAAACATGAACCATTGAACCAGAGTCAATCCACCAAGTATTAAGGGGAACTGATGTGTTCAATGACTCATAAATAACATAAGTGGTTAAGTTACCTTTCTTAGTCAACCATGCCTTAAACTTAGGACACTCCCTCTGGTTCAGAGTTCACGCTTGCACCTATCTTTGGGACCTTAGAAATGTTACCTTTTCCTCCTCCTTGACGGTTGCCTTTCCTTTTCTTTGAGTTTGTGGTGGTGAGATGAGAAACATCTGGTCTTTCAGCTTTAAGGCGCTCTTCTTCTTGAACACACATAGCAATCAACTGGCTCATTGTCCACTTCTCTTTCTGCGTGTTGTAATTGATCTTGAATGGACCATAAGACGCAGGTAGAGAAGTCATTATGAAATGAACGAGGAAACCTTCACTGATCTCCATGTCCATACTTTTGAGCTTGTTAGACATATTAGACATTTTCATGATGTGCTCACGAATACCACTTACTCCATCATACTTATTCGTCAACATTTTGAGAATTAGGGTACTGGCATGTGCTTTAGAAGTGCCCTTAAATTGTTCTTCCACATATTCTAGGTAGGTCTTCGCATTTTCAGAGTCAGGAATGGCTCCGCGAATGGCTACAGATATGGAATTCTTAATCACCATGAGGCACATTCGGTTGGACCTCTCCCACTGTTCATAAGAACGCTTCTGTTCCACAGTGCTTTCATCATTAGGAGCACCTGGTGGATCCATTCTCAGTGCTTGGTCGAGATCCATCATGCCAAGTGAGAGTTTTATAGATTCTCTCCATGTTGAAAAGTTTGTACCATTTAGAGGTTCTATCCCATAATTGTATGGGGTAACAGTAGATGCTGAAATAAAAGGTTTAACAGAGGCAATAATAGAAGCTATTTATAATAAATAAGGGAATACAATAAGGCGTGTCAATTATTAGTAAATAAGCCTATTATCAACACCAAATAATAGGAAAATTTATATTGTGTTTAATAACTAACATTGCGTTGGCTAATGCTAGCTATCAAACATTATGATATTAAAATTAAAATTAGGCTGCAAATATGTCATATATCACCTTTGGGCAGAAATATAACACATTCATTTATGCTTAAATTTCATTATATAAGTTATCAAATAACACACCTTTGGGTTTGTTAAAAGAAAACACATATAATTATTTCAGGATTGTTCTAACTAGTTTTTAGTGTTGCATCAAATGACTTTCCGTTGGGCCAATCATTTGATTAAGCACTATGAGAACAAAAGCGCAACTCAGATGATTCTGTCATGCGCATCTTCAGTAATAAAGTTTTCAGATTATATACATATTTCAAATGGAGCATTGTGTGCATTTAGAATGAAACTACTCATTCTGGAAGATTTGCAAGTCCAAAACAAATACTCCGTATTAAGTAGAATTTCGGAATCTGAAAAGCAAACTGATGTTTGATGTACTTGTTAAGAATAAAGCAACAAACTGATACATAAACATGTTAACTGCACTTTAACATGATTTTACACATTCTGAAAAAATTTAGTCCAGTTGAAATTCCAGATTCTAGAAGAAAAAACAAAACAAAAACTAACTCATATCTCAGTTTTATCTTAATCAATTAAAAAGCATAAGATGATCGAATGATATAAGAATCATCCTACTGATACAAAATAAATAATCTGCACCTAAGTTCAATCATGCGTACGTGTTGTGAATTCAAAACTGAATTTTATACTAAACAAATGCTAAGCAGACAAGTGGAGTCAAATCAACACTGAATTTCAATTTAAAACAATTTTTTTTTCTTTCAATTGCAAATAAATGGAATTGTAAACTGATGATCGCAGTTTTATCGGTAGAGTATAAAACACCACAATTCCATACCATTATTAAGGGCAGCGACAGATTATAAAAAATATTAAATTGAAAACAAACAGTTCAGAGTATAACGGAAACAACATGCTCAATTAACAAAACATCGAATCATCGTCAAAATTAAGAAACTAAATTGATTTCCGTTGATTCTCAATCTATGGTTATCACATGCTTAGTTTCGAATCTATATTAGAATTAAGTAGTTGAGTCAGAAACTTTGTTGAATTCATAATCCAGTTTGCACAGGCAGAAAGTTATTAACGGCTAAAACTATTGTATCGTTTAGCAATTGAAAACTTCGAATTTCATCGTGTTAGCGAGAATTAACTTGCTCTGATACCAAATGAAGAGAAATTCAGTCCCAATTAAGGATCTAGTCTCACTAAACATGATAAAATTCATATAATCAAACAATAAGAACACTAACCGGTTGAGGAGAAACCAAACTTTGATGACGAAGATGATGAAGCCATGATGTCGTTGGATTCTCTAAGAATACAAGCGGATTTGCGATGGATTGAAGGATCTCCCTTGGGTCTCTTAATATAGGTGTTATGACCTTTGGGAAGAAACACGTTCTTTCGTTTTAGTCGTAAGAGGAACGAACGAGCCTTATATCTTGTATCAAAGAGAAACCCCATTGGCCCCTTATGTATTATTTAATGTTAAAACATACCCATCATATGTTAACTGTACATAAATACCGGGACCAAATCTGTCATATGGCAATCTTAATGGTAAGACATAAATGTCCCCAATTTATATTAAATTATATAAATGGTCCAAGGACACTTAAATGGAATATTTTCCAACAATTTGAATTTGCACTGGTTGTGTTTAACTCGTTCTTTTCCCGGATAAGCAGTTTATGTTCATATTTTGTGTTCCGTGTTCTCTTAAAGAGCTATCTGTAATACATATTTCACATGCATGCATTACTTCTTACTTGGATAATGGTGGTATTGTTTATTTATATAATTTATATCATGTACTGTTTTAAATTAATGAGGAAGGAGATGAGCATAGCTAAGCATAATTCGGAGAAATAGCATGAAAAGAAACCTTGGACAGGGGCGCCGAGAGGGGGGGAAACGACGGGAGCCACCATGCAGTGGGTTGGTTAAGGGCGCCATTGATACCTGTTGTGCGTGAATCCAATGTTAGGGGCACTGAGATTGAAATGAGGGGATGTCCAGGGGTGCGAAGTCAGGGTTCTTAGCTGCAATAGACAGGATATGAATGGAAATATAATGGGCCAGGGTAAAATGGGGCCAGCCGGGAGTTAGGCGGAAAATTTTAAGCTTTCAAAAAGTACACAAGGTAAAGCACAATGTATCATCCAAGGAAGCAAATGATTACACCAACACAATTTTTAGCCCTAAAATGCCCTAACTCTCATTGGGGATTATAAGCTTTTAAGAAAAGAGAAAAACATCAATGATGGGGACTAGACCAAAACCTCTCAGCAGAAGGCATACCTTCTGAAAATACAAGAGTCAAAGCACAAAAAAAGGAAAGCAATCTTGGGGGGACTAGACCTGACCCAAGTTACTAAACATAAAGATGAGAAATCAAACAGATAAAGTAGCTAATGAGGAACCCGAAAATTGGAAATCTCAAAAAGATCCATGTAGTATGCATTTCTCGTATGGGCCGGAAGTTGAGTGGGCCTATTAGAAGTCTGAAATTGGGCCGATGCAGACTCAGCTAAGAAATGCGTTGTCTAGTTCGCTTCACGCCAGGTATGGAAAAAGGCAACCCCGCTGGGAGTAGATAGATTGATCAGCTCCTTGATTTTGTCTTTCCATCTTCCAGTGCCGCCATCGTGTATGTAGTGAAGAGACTTCAATGAGTTCATTTCAAGTTGAAAATCAGCATAACCAGCTCGCACCGCCATAAGTTCCGCTTCCGCCATCGTGTATGTAGTGAAGATTCTCATAACTTTCTTTGCCATAGTGTCAGCAGCTTAGACATGTAAGGGTATCAAACTTAAAACATGCTTTATGAGAATCAGGCGCCCTCCTTGAGATATGTTCTTCTACTTCCAAGCAGAAAATTTATTATTAAACTGTTTAATGATATCCATGCAATATTGAGCTATGTTTTTACCCTTATGAATATTTACTCCCAAATATTTTGCAGGTAAAGAGGTTGGTTGCATTCCAAGTATCCTCTGTATTTTATGAATTCTGGCCCTGCTTTGCTTTCCACACAAAAAAGAGCTTTTATGGAGGCTAACACATTGGCCTGAAGCTGCCTGGTAAGATTCTAAGAATTTCTTGAAGTTAATTAGAGATCTAGAGTCCCCATTAAGAAAACATTGAACAACGTCCAACTTATATACTCAACTCTTCGAACAAAAGATTGAAGATATTACATCTTTATCTTCACATTGAGATGAGGAATACCAAGTTGAGTGTAAAACAGTCCGTGTCACAAGAGGACAAAAATCAACCATGATGCATGCCTTCAGTCAAGAAGAACAAAGAAACGGTCAAGATTGAAACTCTTTAGTCAACGGTGAAGCTTCAACAACAAAGTTCTTAAATACAGAAGGAGTGCATGGAGAGCAAGTGTGGAGCTAAGTATGGAACTAAGAAGGAAGATGGAATCATTCGAAATATCCAACAACAATTGCTTATCGCCCTTCACCATCTTAGTTCTCACCTCACTCACTTAAGCTCTTAGACCAGATCAATTTCATACACATCTTTAGAGCTTAGTTAGTTGGTAGTTTAGTTTTACTCTTGTAAACTAGACTAGTGTTAGACATTCTGGAGGGCTTTGTGATTAAATCCAGAAGGTGGGTGAAGGAAAAGGGCATGAGTAGCTTCTGGAAAGTCAATGCCATTAGTGAAAAACTTTGGGGGACTGAGTAGCTTGGAATGGTGTTCATATTCCTTGTGAAAAACTTCACAATCTATGCCGACGGCCAAGGGTGATTGGACACTGAATGTAATGGGTATATTCATTTAGTGGAAATCCATCTTATATAGGTTGGGACTGATGTAGGTGGATGTTGGATCGATTCACCCCTTGTCGACAAACTTCCCAGTGGATCACCCATCCTTGGGCTTTCTTACCCCAGGCTCGCTTAACTTCAGAATTCTGTGGTTAAATAGCAGTCATATCTTTCTTAAAACCAATTGGTGATAAGGAAGTGGACACCCTCTATTTAACTCATTACTTTATAGTTCCCAAGTCAAGGTAGATTCCTGTGGAGCATCCCCCACAGTTCACTACGGCAGTGAAAAGCCCCACTACTGAGCGGTGGATGGACATGAGGGCTGCACCACTTTGTGGTGCCAACAGGTTGGGCGGTTAAGCCCTGAATCAAAGGGTGGTGTTGATCCCTCATAAGACCAACAGTGGATTACACCACCTCTGAACCAGGATATATCTTGTGTCACCTTATATATTTAGTTCCCACAACACACTATAGTTCTCACATACCTTCACAACTCTTCAAATATAAACAGCTTACTCAAAACACTAACCAGTAAACTCCCAGTTTGTTGTGTATCAAACTCCTTGTTCCTTAATCTTTATTCCTCAAAGAGATCTATTTTTAAATAGGTCTAAATCCTTTATAAAAGTCTATTAGTGTCTTAGGTCATAGCTCCTTACCCTTAAACACAAAAGCAGTAGCCTCATTCAGCAGCCTGCTCCTAAGAGGTTCAGCAGCCTGCTCCCAGAAATCCGACAACCTGCTCCTTAAGGATTCGACAGCCTGCTCCTTGAGAAGACTGATTTTGGCTAACACATATGTACCCTGTTTAATCCATCTCATACAACTAAAAGGGTCACAACCTTTGTTACTATAAAGTGTCACACTCAAAGAGGTCAAGACTTCCACTGATTATTTCAATATCTCCCAAAGATATTGGAACTCACTCTGTTAGAGGGAAAAGAGTTGACAAATGGAAAAGATTTAAAAGTCTATTCAGCCGCCGCCACCGCCACCCCCTCTAAACTTTTACATCACTCGGGACCATCAGAAGTGTACCATCCCACAATTATATACTTGGAGTTTCATAAAACGTGATACTTTTTTTAAATTTCACTTTTGGTCCTACGAGTTTTAGGTGATTTCCACATTTAGTCCGCATCATTTTTTACTTTGTCCACTTTTGGTACATGACTATTGTGTTTTCGCTCATATATTGTCCTTCCGGCATTGTTTCCGATGATTAAAATCGCTGGAAAAGGACCACAAACGGTTAAAAACATTAGTCAAGTACCAAAAGTGGATAAAATGAAAGACGTGGACTAAAGGTGAAATTGGCACAAAACTCGTAGGACCAAAAGTGGAATTAATTCTTTTTTAAAAGAGAGTGTATTATATACTCCTTATTAGTAATGTTGTAAGCAGTTCGACATGCCCCGCTAGGGGCATATTCAGGTCTACCTGCGATGCCTAGTTAGGGAGGGGTTAGTTTGGCAGGTTGACCAGTTTCTAGTTAGATTTTACATTGGAAAATACAAAGAAAGTAAAATGCAATTTTACATTTTAAACTTGTTTACGTATGTTTATATTTCTACTGTTAAAATAATAAAAGTAATATATGAGTTTGATTTAATATCTAAGCCCATCTTATTGAGTTTGTGATTATCTTTCATATCGCTCAATATTTCTCTTCTTCCAATTAATTTCCTGCCATGTTTTCTTCACTAGTTTTATCCTAGATGTGGATTAAAAGATAGAAATAATGGTCACACCCCTCGTGTCATCAAAATCACTACCACCCCAAACATCTTCAACAGCAGGTATGAATGCAGCCTATATGAAATGAGAGATGTATAACTGTATATCTCTAACTAAGGGGAAAAAAGAACTACTTTTGCAATCCTTTATCAAGAGGGAGTGCGTCTAAGAGAGAAACCTTTTGCCTTGCTAGTGTATCCCAGTTGATGTCCTTACAAAATGGATGTCGTTTTTTTCCTAGTGATAATATGATAAATACAATAGGTACTGAGAGGTCAATACCACATGATCAAAGGAAAGAATGTGTGTATCATATGTGAAGCACTCGTCGAGTAAGTGCTTATGCATATTAGTGTCTCAATTGTTGAAAAAAGTTATCAGTATTGAAGGTGCATGGTGCAGAGAAAAAAAATCTGGAATGTATTGTGCGTCGGAGTTATCTTAAAACTGCTTCTGCTTCTTCAGGGAGCAGAAGCAAACGTCGGAGTGTTTGAGTAAGAGTGCATAAGTGATTCTGATGCACTAATTTACTCCTAGAATCAGTGTTTTTAGAATCTAAGAGGGCCAGCTTCTGAAAACTGATTCTGATTCTGCTTCTATTTAAAAAAAGCAGAAGCAGAAGTAGAATCAGTTTCAAACACCCCATAATTTGAACAATTATCCACTCAAATTTAGTATGGGATGAGATAAGGCTCAAATTGGACACTATGGTTTCATCAGAATCTCATATTGGACACTAAGGTTTCAAATGTACCAAATTAGACACTATGGTTCATATGTATCTCATATTAGACACTAAAGTTTCATAATTCTATATAAGTGAGTGTCCAATTTGATTTTTATCCAATATAATTGAGTGTCCAAAAACTATGAATTATGAAACTTTAGCGTTTAATATGAGATATATATGAAACTATAGTGTCTAATTTTGTCCATTTAAAATCATAGTGTACCATTTGAACTTTTATCCCAATTTAGTATATACGGTTGGTATAATTTGAATGTATATCCAATCAGCCATCGGACTGAAGCAATTGTACAGCCATGGTTGAACACAGCCAGAGCCTGAAGGAACTGAGAAATGCTTATGATCAAAATAGATGAACTGACTAAACTGAATATGGCCTTAATCCTCCAATTATCATCTTCCTCTCTTATCACGAGGACCAGGAATCACAGAGCTAAATGCTTGAATCTCTTCGCCAAATCGCAAGACCCATCTTCAGCTCAGTCTACCGAAGACGCTGCATCATCCACGGAGGTCTCGCCGCAGAAGAAGCTCGGCGGAGCCGGCCTAGGTTTCGGCCCCTCAATTTCCAAGAGAAAGCAGAAGGGAAAGAGAGAGACGACCCCCGTAATTCGCCGAACCCCCATTGAAAAGCCCAAATTCGATTCGCAGCCGGCCAGAGCCCAGCCCCAGGAACCCAAAGGAAATGAGAGCGCTTTCATTCTCGCTTGGTTAGGGCTTGGCGCAATCATTATTGTTGAGGGTGTTGTTCTTTCTGCTTCAGGTAAATCAATCTTTGAAAATGAAATCAACCCTTAAAGTTCTGGTTTTAATTTCAATTCTTAAATTCGGGTCTGGTCTGTGACAGTGTATTTAGTTGTAAACATAAAGACCCTTGAATCAAAGTTCGTTTATGTAAAATTTCAGTATGATCTACCAAAAACCGAAGAAGAAAGCGCTGTCTGTAAAAATAGAACCCAGAATAGAAGGCTTATCAAAAATCAAAACTTGCTATTTGACATAGACTCACAATAATTATGTCATATAGCAATGGAGAAATGTGAAAATGGGAGGCAACCTATTTAGCAAGGAGTAAAAAAAACCACTCAATAAAGTGAATTGGGATGCTTGTCCGAAAAAAAGTTGAACATTTTGTTTGGAAATCCCAACCAAAACTGCTCAATTGTAGCATCAAATGCTATTCAGTATAACTTACGATTAATAAGCATTTTTAACAAAAACCAGATCGAGATCTTATTCACCAAAATATGTTGCATTTGTATTATGTGGCTATAAGTATTTTCTCTTTTAGTCAATACCTGCATTTTGAATGTAACAGATACTAATATGGCTTTGGCTCAGGTAAGGACACATCTTCCATGGTTTGTAATGGTCTCATGTGACTGAATATGCTTGCATTGTCTGGAAATTTCTAAATTACCTAAAATTTGATTAAAAGCGAATCTTATGACAAATTCACATTCGGTAAGGGTTATTGTATGGAATGGCTGAACTTGCTGAATTGTACTTGGTATGAATGACAAAGCTTTTGGTAATATCAATTGCACCCCAAATCGATTAGGTAGAAGCTACTTATGTAAAAATAACAACTTATGTAGATAAGCAGAATAAGCAAACCAATGCTGCCACACTGGGCCTATATTAAATATTACTCGTATGTAATAGATGAAGAAGAAGAGTTAATTATCTTCATTATATAATGGTTCCCGTCCACTATTCTCCGGTCAACGTAAATTGCTCTTAATCTTTTCCTTTATAGTTTATATATCCAACTTTTATCAAATTTGAATTTTTTTGGCGACTTTATGAACTTTTTATGTAGTTTTTGAATCTGTAATTTTATTTACTAAACATAATCTTATTACTGATAGGGATCCCTTAACTTTATGGCTAGTCAAACATCATAAACCGCGTGGGAACTTTTAAGTGGGAGGGAGGGAGTATTTCAGAAAAAGTAACTTTTGCATTACTCTTCGTTCATACATAGTACGTAGTATTAATTAGATATTTTTATTAAGTTAAGAGCCTGTTCGGTAAGGGTATTTCAATGGAACATCTCAATATCGTTTTTTATTTAAAGTAAAAAGTATTTGTGAAATCAATACCATCCAAACAAGTAAGTATAGAGCTACTCCCTCCATCCCATTCAAAGGTTTTCACTTTCCTCTTTTGGACGTCCCATAAAAAGGTTTTCATTTCTATTTTAGGAAACAATTAGCACTATTAAATGACGATTTAATAATCAAATATTAAAAATAATACATCTATAATGTCATAGTTATCATCAATGACACCATTATATTATATACCCATCGAAATTGTTCCTCAAAATATACTCGAATGACCTTATTTAATTATTGTCTAAATAATCGTGTCATTTTACAATGGGAACCTTTCAGCGGGACAGAGGTAGTACTTATTTTTTATTATTCTGTTGAAAAGAAAAATAAGCTGAATAGCCTGATCACTGCTAGAAAACGGGGCCGAAATGGAATAATATGTTATATGTAAAAGAGTGATGTTGCCTAGAAGGGTTTTATTTGTTTTCGTTTGAACTATCAAGAAAAAAGTAACTTTGTGGATGCCCTTTCAGCATATACAGTAAAAATAAGTCAGTGTTCCAACAATGGAAACAATCACACAAGGCCACATAGTGATCATTTTCAATACTCTCCATGCAGTGACTTACATACTGTCTTTGTGCTTGTAGGGTTTCTACCAGAGCAGTGGGATAATTTCTTTGTGAAGTATCTTTACCCGTCCTTCACTCCTACGGTGGTATTGTTTGTAGCCGGTACAGTCATTTATGGAGTATTGAAGTATCTAGAGAATGAGAAGCTCAAGAGTGAAAAATGAATCTTTCTTATTTTTCATAAAATCTAATAACTTAGAGTTTCTTCATTGAATGTGGAGAGCATTCTAACCAGTTTGCCCAGGCAGGCAATTGTCATGTATTGCCTCCCAACTGCAAGTGCTCAAAAAGTATATTTATCATTTTCCTCAATATAGATGAACATAAATATGATTGATCAAGTTAACAGTCAGCTATGAAGTAGCAATCTAGATCTACCTGTCTTTATCTATTAGATCTTCTTAAATGTATCATCATCCAAACGCTGTCTTCGTACATGATCAATCCTGACATAATAGACAGTTCATAGTTGTAATTGAATTTGACAACCTTTAAGGGCTCATTTGGAATGGTTTTTTATTCCCGAAAGTAAAGGAATTGAAGGGAATCATTTGTAGGGCTGTACATATTTCTTGTTCGAGTATGGACCGGACCGCACCAGAACAAGCCGGGTAAGAGGACAGAACTAGCGGCCGCTTTTTCAGTTCTAGACTGGAACTGGTCCAAAACGGTTCCGGCTCCTCCAATCTAGGACCAGAACCAACCAGTTCATGTTCTTTATATTTTTGTTTTCAATGATAGTCTAAAAGACCAAACCCGACCTAGAACTAGTTTACCTGGTTATGGATCCAGACATCCAGTGTGCCTTTACCCAGAACTGGACGGTACAGAACCAGAATTGGCTTGGGTCCAACCCTAACTGTATGTGATGTTCATTTTTTAACAAAAAAATGTTAGGGATTTGAAATATCCAAGTATCCCCAATTCATGAAATTGCAGAAATAACAAGCCCTCCACATGCAATGAGTTTTGCGTCTTGTGATGACAACAATTTTGATAATGATGATTTAGTTTATTATTTTCAAGTGTTGGTTTTGAACATTGTCTGGTTGATTGAAATCTTAAAAGTGGTCAAGAAATCAAGAATATCAAGCATGATGATGTCCTGTAGTTTGGTATACAACTAATGAGACTTTTGTATTCCATGCATGTGAGGTACTCATTTGGTTTGTTGCTGTTAAAGTGGTAGCATGCAAAGTTCTTGATGAAGTACAAGTGCATCACCAAGGGTTCTTTAATGAGTGGGTGAATTCAGTTGCATTCAATATCCATCTGATATTGAAGGGTGCACTTGACTGCCATTGTTTCATGAGTTTTAATTTCATTTTGCATTGAAATGTGGTATGGCATGGTAACCACTAGTAGTGATTTATTGCACTTACTATGTCACCAGAACTCTTTGCTTGATTTGTGTACATTCATCTATGACAGACCACTTCTACTTTGATTCACCAATTCCTCTTCAAAGTGTACTCTTTCACTTTGATTGCTTTTCAAAATATAATACTAGTTCAGCCCTAAAATAAATGTTATAGTTTGATTTTCACGGTCTTTAATGCCAATATTTGACCTTTGTTATATATAATTATATATTTATACAAATTATAATAATTTAGTACTCCCTCCGTCCCCTGTTATTGTCAATCACTCTTAATCTCTTACTTTATATATCAAATTTTTATCAAATTTGATTTTGGTTTTTTGCGACTTTGTAAAGCTTTTAATGTAGTTTCTGAAAATGTAATTTGTTTTTTCTAAAAATAATTTGAGTGCGGACATGGATCTGTTTGTTTTATCGTCGGTCAAGTATCGTAAACCGCAATGGGACAATAACAGGGGGCGGAGGTAGTATTTTTTTCTAATACAAATACGTAGTCAAACACCTTGTGGTTCAATCATCACTTTGACACTCTTAAGGAGGAAGTCACAGGTTCGAAACTTATCCCAGTCAAGTATGTTGGCATTTAACGGAACAGATACTATAAGAATAAGAGAAAGTGCAGCCAAAAGAGAAATAGAAATATGTAGACAAATTTGTCATGATTGCCCTTATAATATAAAATGTAAGGAGTATAATCTTTTAAAATATTGTTGATGAAAATTGATTGAAAACATCAAAGTATCCCTTCTTTTTTAGCGGAAAATAATTAAAATACCTCAAACTTTGATGGGGTGTGAGGTAAGCACCCCAAACTTGCATATGTATTTTAAATACCTCAAACTTTATATAAAAATTTATTTTAACACCACGTTAATGTATTATTTCATTCAAAAATGTAAATTTATGGTGTTAATTGCATATTTTGAATTTTTTTAGCATTCATGAAGATGAAATTAACATTCTAAACTTCTATTGTAAAATAATACTACCCCCCCCCCCCCCTCCTCACACACACTCTATATAATTGCATCATTTTCAATTTGCTATTTTAAATTATGCAATTAACACCATAAATTTACATTTTTGAAAGAAATAATAAATGACCATGGTGTTAATTAAAATGACTTTTTATATAATGTTTGGGGATTTAAAATACATATGAAAGTTTGGAGTGTTTATCTCACATCCCTTTAAAGTTTGGGGTATTTTAATTATTTTTCCCACTTTTTTATAGAGCAAGTAACATGTTTCTTAATAATAACAATGTAACAAAATATAGGAAATTTCAAGCGAAGAAAACATGATCTAAAAAAACTTAAAATCAATTATTTGACAATTGCACCATTGCACCTAGTGAAAAGCATCTTGGGCCAAATGCAAATATGCAATATTATACAACAACTAGATTAATATCTTAAAAGTCTAAATTTTGCACCATTGCACCTAGTGAAAAGCATCTTGGGCCAAATGCAAATATGCAATATTATACAACAACTAGATTAATATCTTAAAAGTCTAAATTTTCTTAATTGTATGTTTTGCACAACTATTTTATGAGTTTTTTTAGTTTAAATGTACAATCTTTTTGAGAAGCTATAATGAGTAGGTTATAAGAGAAAGTGTGAGTCTTTTGACATTAATTAGTCTGAACAACTTGTTAAATCAGGCAATCAATTTTGATCAAATAGCTATAACCTAAAACTTAATGGTTACCGAAAAATCCCAAAAACTTAATGGTAACCGTAAAAACCCGAAAATATATATTTTCATTTAATTGTATCAAACATGTCCTTAAGATTAAAGAAAGTGAAAAGCCAAATTGGGATCTACTTTTCTCGTCCCAAAATAAACTTTAATTTTTAATTTTTATCGTTTCATAAAACTCTTTTTTTTCTGTTAGAGGCTAAATCTTTCGTGTTTTACGCTATTTCTCTCTTGTTTGTATAATTTTTGGTCACATAATTACCACTTACCTAATTCTCATGGACCTAAAAGAGGAGTTGAATATGATAAAATGTAGTATTACATTTGATGCGTCTGTAGACAACATTGTCCATATTGATCACTATTCATTGTTTGTCCAAATTTTCAAATGAATAATATACTAGCTTTAACAGTGAACTATAGAAGTATGAGCGAGCCCTTCTCTGAAGTCTGATCTAGTGCTCAGTACGGAGTACTTTCTAATATAAAAAGTTAACAACCATATGAATGTGTTTAGTAACATTCAAATTGGCTGAATCGCTTGATTCGATTATCGAATTTTATGAAGTTTAACTGAAGTGGTTGGATTGACGAATTCTGTTGATTTATGAAAAAATTATATTTAAAATATTTTTTAGTAATAAAATAAAGAAAAAACTATATCAAAAAGTAGCTAAAGTGATCCTCTACGAGTTTACGGTAACTTTAGTCAATGCACCTAGAAACGAAACTGCAACCTTATTTTTTCTTATTATTACATCATTCAGTCCGCGAAATCAAAAGATACGTGTTTGGTGAAAATATTGGTTGATAAACCTGATAAGCCGAAGAACAAGGACACTAAATGGGCTCTATGCAGGTAATGAACTATACAGAATTGATCGATATTTTGTGTGTTTTGATGGAGATCCTGTAGCAATACCAAAAACCTAATATGATACTCTCTTCTTTTGACTTGGCACATACTAGTAGAATAAGAAAGTGGAAAATGTGTGACCTAAAGTTGTGAATAGGAGAGAGAAAGTGAGGGCAAATGCTATGGCCCACACATTCTTTGCCAAATAGGGAAAGATAAGTGTATATTAGGACGGACGAAAAAGGAAAGAATGAAGATAATATTGGGATGAAGGCAGTATTTATAAAAAAAACTTGTTTACGTTGTTTCTTATCTTGATGCCCATTATGTATTTATCAATATTTTCTTGGAAGAACTCTCTAAATAGGATTTATTATTTTTTATTGCACAAAAATACTCTTGTAGGGGTTGGAGCACAAGGGGGCAGAGGCCGAGCCACGACACTAAGCCGGTACAAAGAATTTTTTGGAAAAACAATTATTCAGATTTTTTATCTTAAAATTTAGGCATTTTTAAAGTTGGGGTGGGTCAAGCCTAGGTGTGCCCCCTAACTCCGCCCCTGTAGAGCATTGTTGCCTTCGAACCACCACCGCCCGCTAGTCACCAAAATCCACCAATGTTGGACAACCACTACCACCAGACTACCCTGGTTATGCTGGGATACTAAGGGCAATTAATATATTAAGGATAGACATATGTTCTTTAGTCCTATTTAAAAAATATATATCTAAAACATGTAATCCTATTTGAGGAATATGACTATTTTGATCAATTTTCTCTATTTCCTAATGTATAACGATTTTTTTCTTTCGTTTTTTCTACCGTGGATACCCAATGTAAATTTATCGCCTATTCATAAGACGACAAACACTGAGCTACACAAAATGGCATAATCGGAGGTCCAAATTAGCCCGGGCTAGGGTTGGTGCTATTTCATAGCCCAAGACTAATTGGGAACAAAACCAGCCTGTTCTCGGGACCAGACCATAACAGGTTTTTCTAGTTCAGTCTAGGGGCTGGCACCGATCTTGGTTCCACATACCAGCCCACCCAAGACCTGTTAGACCGGGTTCAGAACCCTCTTAGAACTGGATTGTAGGGGTGGGCATAAAACCCGAA